GATTATTTTGTCACCTTACTTGTGATCCCAAATGCGCGATCATTATATACTTACATTGTGCTTCCTGTTGCGAATGTTCCGCCACTATTAGTAAGCAAACCCGAGTTCTCATAAGTTGTTGACTTTTGAACCCTTCCGCTGTCTTAGAGTCATATATGTGTTCAATGTGCGTGAGCGCTCAGGCTGATTCATGTGCTCATAGCCACTTCACACATAGCCGGCACGCCGACGATAAAAATAGTCAAAACATGTTACAAAATGAACTGCGGAAGTTGTTCACATAATCATGTAATGCAATTACACAGTAAATATAGAAGTATTGGACGACGCTTTACAGAGTGAGGTAAGAAACGTGGTGAAACGCGACGAAAAACACGAATTCAACGCATCCGCCAAGACGCGGCGTAGCGCGGAGGGGAGAGCGAAGCGACCAGTTGAAGCAACCTAATGGCGGCCGCATCACGTGATTCCAAGATGGCAGCGCCCATGCCACGGAGGGTGAAAAGGTCACAAGCAGATCCTCAGTCTCCTAAAGGGGGGGGGGGGGGGGGGGGGGGGGGGGGGGGGGGGAGGGATTTGGTCGAATAAGCACCACACAAGGCCAGTGGAAATTTACTTGTTTAACCGGTGGAACGCTAACTGAACAAGCCCCAGTCGAACAATTCAGTGCAGTGGCCTTGCTATATAGGTGATGTTGGTCGGACTCACCATGGGGTGTGTGTGGGTGTTTGGGAGGGGATTTATAAACCACCGCTGGTTATGTTTGTTGCCACAGTCACTTAATGTGTCCATGGTTGACAACTGATACTATTACACATTTTCCTACGACAATTAGAATCACCAGAGTTAACGAGCTCATTACAGCGTTTTGTCTTCATCTATTACAGCACACTCGGCCCAACTCCAGAGCTCGCTAGAGCGCCCACATTACCCGCCGGACGAAAACCGAACTAAGGTATCATTCCCCTTTCTGCCAATAAATTACACGTATATACATGATTGACGCAGATATAAAACATTACCCGTAATTCCTTATGCAAAATAACCTCATCCCCTTTATTGCCTATATCGTGACTGCCGCGACAGAGGGAAACAAGCTCCATGGCAACTCAAGAGGGCGGCCCACAATCTCACGAGTGCGGCTCCTCGACAGACGTTAGTCTCGGGGTGTCGTTGTCGAACGCCGGCCGGTGTACAGAAAAGAGTGCTTTCCGCAGTAATGCACTTTCTCCAGGGTACTTTGGCCGACTCGGAACACGTAAACTGATTTTGGGTTCCGCGAAGGGCATTATTAGACTGAAAATAATTCTGAAACGTAGCGGTTCCTTTGAATCGTTGGTGAATGCTCGCGACGAATGTGAATAATCTAAAAGTGTGAATAATCTAAAAGTGCTCCTCAACCCTACAAGTAAGTTTTTTTTTTTAACATTGTTTTTAATCTGGCGACGATCGGTTAGCACATTCGAAAGCTGCGCGGTTCAAATATTTCCGGGCTAATGTTCAACTTTAAAACGTGGTCCAGTCGCCGTCCCCACCTTGCTGCTTTAGTCACCCATTTCCGGGAAGTCCAGCTTCCTGAAGTCAGCAGGCCAGTATGAGACCGTCTTCTCGGAAGGAGTCGTGCCAAAGAAAGCGGCCTTGATTAAGGGAGTGTCGACGACTCATCGTAACTTGACGCACGCTCCAACAACAACCCACACGAAGAAAAACACAAAAAAAACGGAGCTATTCCTTTGTTTTAGTTTGGCTCCAGTCCAACCTGAGTCTCAGCACGCTATCCGATCGAACTGAATCCCAGTCCGGCGAGCGAGTGCCTTACGCAATGAGCGGACGAATTATAATTACGCGCGTAGCGCGATGCACATTGTCGCGACACAATCGCCATAGGTGGCAGGGGGTTAGGCTTAGGTCACGCATCCTTGTCCTGAGATGTACACTCGGGTTACCGGGTATTGTCATTTCAACGCGCAAGACTCAAGTTATTATAAAGATTATTATTTTTTTTTTAACAGCGCAGTGCTTTGTCGGAGGAATTAAACGGAATACACCAGGCGGTGGTAAGCTTCGGGGAAAAAAAGAAAAGAGCAAGCACGTGAGAACGTTTAAGTCGATTGAATATGGATGGCCGTTCGTTCCACACCGTAAGCAGCTCTGGGATTCATACCGTGGCACCGCTTAATCGTTCCTCCTCGAATACCTCCACATAAAAAGAACGCGTGGGTTTTGGAGATCACAAATACATGATGCTAAGTGGCGTCATCATCTATCAGAAGCGGCGCCGTCTATCAGAAAACCGCTAGAATAATGTACATTTCGAAGGAGACTCAGCGTCCAAAAACGCGTAACTAAAATAAAAAAAAAAAAACTTTTTTTTTTAGGTTCTTATTCTAGCTAGGTTCTTCGATCCAGCGCGCGCCGCTGATTCGCCGATAGCTAATGAAGCCTGACGCCTGAACCAGCTGCAACTCGCCCATGCTTTGAAAACAGCATACACACGCCCCTTCTGCACGGGAATATGCTAGGTCCGTTCGTATGAGCGTAGCTTGGCAAAGGGCGAACGCTACGGCCGCCGTGAGCCAATAGGAGGGACGAAGCGAAGCACGTGACAATTCTCCACGGAATGATAGCACGCCGACGGTATGCGTGACACGTGCCTCGCCCCGGCGTTCCGATTGGCTCGTTCAGGTTGCAGCTTTTGCCGTTTCCAAGTTACGCTGGAGCGGATCATAACCACCTACCCTCTCTATGGTGCTTCTCGGCGCAAGTTCATAGCTATACACGGTATAACCGGTGCTTGGCTACTACTTACTTTCGCGATGTATTTAAGTTAGCATATCCTCACGCGCTGAAGACACTCGATACAGTAAATCATTGTTGTTGTTTTTTTTCCTCCACCGGACAGAAGAAAGTACCGATGATCCAGACGGATGCATAACACTCAGTTTCAGCATTCCTAGTAGGGCTGGGTGTCGATTTTAAAAACATTAACTCGTTTAAAGGGGCGGTGCAACGATATTCAACTTGAATATTTTTCACTTTACACGAGCTTACTGGCACTAGTGGGACTCAAGGATACTCGCACGCAACGCCACTGGCCAAGAAACTCCTTTGTTGCGCTGTAATTTCGAGGACAAAACCGAGTGTTTTCATTCAATCTCTCCTCACAAAACCTGATGACGTAGCTCGGCGGTAGCAGTACCGCCCAGTGACGATATTTGAATGCGGTTCATAGATTGGACCCGAGGATGGCGTAGTCACTCGATTTGGGCTCGTGATAATTACTAGCTCGAGAAGCATTCGGGTAGTGGCCCGTGTCCAATCGCTGCAATGACGACAAAAGCCGAGCCATAACAATGTCTGGAACTCAGCGCGTTTCCTGTGCCTTGCCAACCCCAGCGCGTGGCTATGATCAACATTGGCGGCATATAATCGGCTCCAGGTCACATATCCGCTTGTTCTGGCTGCGAGTTGAGGGTGTGAACTCTGCTCGTTTTTCTTTATTTTTTTTTTCTGCGACTTGGATTGCGTGTGGTGAAAAACGAACGGGTATTTCACAGGTCATTAACGTCAGGGATCCGTTCTAAGCGGTATTCGCGCAAAATACGAAAATCGTTACATCACCCCTTTAATCGATTTTTTAATCGGTCTCGTTAATTTCCATGCAAAATATTTATTTAAAGTCAAAATGACACCTATATTTTTGTTTTCTTTTGCTGAATACGTGCACGTTACACGGCCCAATAATTTCAATTATAAATCAACTTTGATACGTCGTTGAGAACATTTAAAAAGACACTCACACTCAAGGATTGTTACTTCAGCTGCATGAGGCAAGGAGATTTGTTGATATTCTCCGGCAAGAGCGGCCTCTTGATTGCTCCCAGTAGTCTTTGCTGCTCTGAGCGGACACTCGCACGGCGTTCAGAGCGTGACTGGGACACGTGTAACCTTCTGCACTTGTCTGGAGTTACAAAATTTGCCCTTACAGTTTACTTTAGGCTAAAATTCTACCCAAAATTTTCCCTTCATACAGGTATGCTCGACCATGTCTGCTTGGTGAAAGCATTTAATTTTTATTTTATTTTGTTTCGTCAAAATTTTACCATTAACCGGTTAAAAGAAATTAATCGCGATTAAAGCATTAATCGGTAGGTTAATCGATCCATTGCCCAGCCCTAATTCCTAGCCTAAACTTTACTCTTCCTTCAAGACCCCGAGAATCTTCAAGGCTTACGTTTGCTGCGCACAGTAAGTAAAATTAATGGATCCCCTTGTGGTGGCTCGCTCGTTTCTACGACGCCACACGCAAGTGGACTCCTGACCCGGGGAGTGTCTGCCGCGTAGCCGGGGCTCTTTGATCAGGGCTCTTTGATCAGGAGTCCGCGTGCGTGTGGCGTTGAGCAAGCCACGAGAGGATTCCTCATTTCCACGACGCCACATCCTGCTTTATATCACTTTTCACACATGCCCATATCTTGTACTCAAAAGGCTAGCTCTCCAAGTGCTCTACTAATTTAGGAGCACACGCTACTGCCATAGAACAATGGTCAATTTGCGTCCCAATTTCTTTATTCGCGCCATTGACAGAATAAGTCACGTCGGGTGAGTAAACGAAAAATACAAAACAATACGAAAAATCACACACACATACACACACACAAAAAAAAAACGAATTCCGCACCGCACAGTTTACCGGCCCAACTACCTGGAATTAATAGTTATATAATCAAAATAGCGAGCGTTATGACGGCATAACTTGCAAGTGTTTTTTCTTCTTCTGTTTAGCTTAATATACTGACAGCAAAAGCGACAACAGCATCCAGGGTCCCCAACAGATTCGTTGAAACGCAGAACTAAAACACGCCCCAAGGACGTCGCCGAGCCCGTACGCCGCCGCTCCCAAAAGTAAACAGCAGCCTCCCAATGCCGAGTTGGCACATTCCGCCGAGACGGTCGCACACGCACGAGACGCGTCGAGAGCCCGAATGCAGAAACCTCACCTGTCATTTTCAGATTATCCCGCCCATCAATCCGGCGTCGAAGAGTGCAGACGAAAAAGGCGCGCGTTCGAACGCGAGCCGAGTCCAGAACCCCAGGTCAGTTCCTCGCGAATACCAGGCCGGACGGGGCGGGGCTGGGCAGCGCAGGAAGTGGCTTGTGTTCTGCGCCGTAGGATATACGACTCCGAGATACAGCTACTTCCTTCGCTGCCGCTACCGCGCTTTCCCTGCACAAGAGCCAGCAGCCCGTCAGTCGGATGAAATAGAAAAAAAAAATAAAAAAAAAGCGCTCAAAGTCGGTTTATGCCTTTGGTCTCCTGGCATTGCGCACTTCGCGGTGTGACACCGGAGGCCACGTCATGGCTTACAAGTCATCGCGGCCTACACCTGCGCGCTCCGCGCTATATCAGACGTCCCAGACCCGTACAACCCAGCAGCGGCTCACGTAACATGACGTGGCTCAAAAAAGGCAAAGTATGATTCCCGAAATTCGATGCCCAAAATATGTCTGTGACTTTGCGGATGTTAGGTGACATTCAGCTTTTGCCGCATCTGGGACACCGCGGCAGAAGAAAATTTAATTGTGCGGATAGGGGGTCGAATGAAACAGCGTCGATTCATTTCAGCCCCTGCAGAGTAAGGCCAGACGATTTTATTCTGCTTCGCATGCAGACACTGATTAATTGTCGAAGTTTAGTTCCCAAGGAAAGGTCGAAAGAGGTCCTGCTAAAACCATGTTTGGTTTGGAATGACTGTAGTTCCAAATATCGACAGGACGGAGGGGCGGGAAAGGTGTATTAATTTTGCATGCTCAGGTATATATGCCGGAAGAGGTATACGATTTACCCCTATCTAACATAAATTGATCGAGTTTGGGGAAAGGTAAACGAAATTATTCGAATTTGTAACTAAAGGGGACAGACAACTTCTCAATCTCAAACTTCTATCATCTCGCAATGCATGCAGTGTAACCGTTTGTTTGTTTTGAGGTATACGGTGTTGGATATTTGAGAGAAGAGTAAGGGAGCGGGCCAGCTGGCGGTGGCGTTAGGCACGGGAGAAACTTATGGGGATTCGGAGAAGTGACGACAAACATATGCAGTTCATTCATGTTGTCGCGAGTTGATAGATATGTTTGTCGTCCCTAGTCCCGAGTTTGTTTTATTCTTTCTATGTGGAGTCATTTTTAGCAACACGCCCTACAGTTAATTTGGACATGCATTTTGACCCCGACGTAAATCAATGTTGGTGCGCAGTTAGCTGCCTCGTCCTCGCGTGTTCCTACGTGTTCTTCATGTTGCCCTTTGATTGGAGTGCGCCGGTCCTGTGTTTTGCTTGTCCTGTCGTTTATGTGCTACTCTTTCACCATGTCTGTCGACAACCCACCAGCCAGTCAATCCACCCATTTTACGCAATAGCGCTCCTCCGCGTAATATCCTACACCGCGGGTGCGTCCAGAGCCCAGTGGCTCGTCGAACAAGTTGAAGCCCAAGTTCGCGGAGATTCAACTTCGGCGACAAAAGTGCGGCGTCATCGTCGCGAGAGTCCAATAGGCGCCCTTGCCGGTGTGCGTCGTCAATCAACAAAGAAGCTTTTTTTTCTTTTTCGCTAGTATTTTGTTAGAGGTGTGGCAAACTCGCGTGGTTTGCGTTTAAACGTTAGGGGAGTGCGCGAATGGCATTATAAGGCTTTCAGGGCATGCATGGGTAAATTACTTCCAAAATGTAATTTAATTACAATGACTCTGCTTCAAAAGTAGTTGAACTACAACTGCAATTACTATTATGTGAAAAGTAATTAATTACAATTACAAATTACTTTTCAAAAGTAATGCAATTACTTTACGATTACTGATTTCTGAGAGCAACCTCCACGTGGGACATATAACTTTAAACAAGTTGTATAGAATGCAACGTATTCGTTCCTACCTTGCCCCAATGTTCACGTGTTGCACTTTCTTTTTATGAGTTTTGATAAATTCATGATATAACTTGACAGTATGGGGGAAGCAAGTACTACGTTCTTATATTAATAATAAATAATAATAAATTAGTTGATATGCTGGAAGACGCCACATTGCTTCAGAAAAAATTGGGTTGACAGGCGTTTGTTAGCCAGGCAAATAAAAATAAGACAATTAGTCATATAGGAATATTTTACAAGTGTTAATATAAAGTAAAATCCACACGCGCTAATACGACCACATTCACATACAAACATCAGGCCGTTGTAAATTATTTACATTGAGTTGAAATTATAATGGCTCAGAAATATATAAGTAGCGAATCGGGGCACCCGAATCATTGGTGACAATATTCCCAGGTGCGAGGTCAGTCTCCAAAGTGCTTATGCAAATAATTTCCGAAGTAAAACCAACAAACAATAAACTTGAAAATACTACAAATGTACAGATATGCGACATTACTGGAAGAGGGACGTAAAAATACTGGTAAAACGAAAGAAAAATAACTCGATAGGCAATCAAAATTCCCGACCTCGGCTGATAGCTGAAGGTCAATTTTTTATTTCTTTCAATATTTGCCACGTTTACGCTATTGTTTTCTGCTCGTACTGCCGTTGAGGTAGGCTCCAAAGAGGATTGTCTCTCGGCCCGCAGTGTAAGCAACAAAACAACTAACAGTGCGAAGCTATTTATGTTGTCCGTGTGTGTGAGTTTGTGCCTGTGTGTTTCACCGAGAGCTAGGCCGTTGTGCGAGCGCTGAGGCTTTCAGAGAGGTTCCGTCGGCGCCGGAAAGTTTTGCAAAATTAATAGTAATTGTGCCTGAAATTGTGCAATTACTTACGATAGAAAGTACTTAAATTACAATTACAATTCCTTTTAGACAAAAGTAATGAATTACAATTACAAATTACCAAGAAAAGTAGTTAAGTTACAGTAATTCAATTACAGTAATTTAATTACTACCCAAGTATGTGTCAGGGCATTGAGCATATATGCGACTTCCGGAGCCCTAAACCAAACGGGTGCAACGAACGCTAAGGATAAGTCAACAAGCTGCAAAACATTTCCCTCCCGGTACGTGCATTAGGAAAAACTTTTCCAAACAGACTGACATGAGCTCGTTGGGCAGTTTGTATATGGCGGACTTGAGAGACGGCCCCCTAATACGTTTAAGTTTGCAAGTTAGAAGGCACAGATCGGCGATGACCTCGACAACACGCTCCGGAAGTCCGACCGCGTTGGCATACATGGTGCATGAGTGTTGTTAGGCTGGAAGTCAGAGGGTCATCGCGAACATCCGAGTGGACCGATTATCGTATTTGTTCGGCGTAATTTCACAAACTTACTACGCAAGGCGCACCAAAAGCAACATCACTAAATGGACAAGTAACAAAAAAATATGAGATTGGTGAACGACGGTGTCAAACGTGCTGGCGAGAGCGTTTGGATGAAGGCTTATCCTTTTCAGTTCTTCAAAGTTCTAAAAAAAAATGAGAGAAGAAAAAGAAAATATACTTACCAGGACTTCCGTAGGTCTGATTTCAAGATTCCAAAGAGGAATCGGCTTGAAGCCTGTCATGACGGCGAAGATGTTAACCCGGCATTTCTTCGACAAACCGCGGCGTCGGCTGTACCGGACCTCTTAGGCCGCTCGGGAAGATGCAAAAAGAGGCGACGAAGACCAAGGTACGTCGAGGTGCGTAAACGCGCCGGTCTCTTGGCAGCGTTCCATGGCTGCACTTGGGAAAACAGCCCGCGCAGTAACACCGGTCGCGCGAGAGCGGGTGGGTAGGCTGTGACGTCGTCATTGAGAAATGCTCCTCGTGGGATCAAGGCCGCGTGAGTGAGTAATTGCGAACTAGCGAAACGCACCACTTAGAAGCACGGTCAGCGCGAAGGGTTATCGGCCGCCAAGACTGTTCGTTCGTCCGTCGAGCTATATAATGAAGGCACTCTCTTTGCATGCACGTCGCAATTATCCCGTCGTATACTGGTGCACTTTGCTGCTGACAACGCGGCTCTGTAGCACGTATTTCGCACGCACCATAAGGTCCGTTGTCCTCGACAGAAAAACGACCTAGACGGAGTGGAGACAATGAAAGATTGAAAGGTTACCGGTACAAGTCGAGGGTCCTGTATTGCACGCTGAAACAAAACCGGATTTTTTTTTTTTTTTTTTGCATGCATGGAAATTCACGCACTGAAATAAATTTTAAAGTTCGGAAATGCCAATTAAAACCAAGCCTTGGGTCATTGTATAAAAACTCTGTTTTTTTGTTTTTTTTTGTTTTGTTTTTTAGATTAGGATGTTGTACCCAAAACCAGGAAGATCGAAAAAAAAAAAAAAAAAAGGACGAGTAATATTTTTATATATTTGAGTTGACTAGTTTTGATGAGTTCTTTTCATTAATAAAACGTGGAACATAAATCGGTTTCCGTGTACGCATGCTGGAGTTCTGCGAAAATTGCTTTTATGAAGCTCCGTTCAGTCGGGCTTGCCCACTCGAAGATAAAATAGCCCTGAGCCAGCCACACAAACACACACACACTAAAAAAACGCCTAACACAATCTAAAAAAAAAAACCAATAAAAACACGCAGAATTGGCAGCTGTATGAAGGTTTGATCTGCATATATGACGGTTTAATCTACCGATCAAACATGCACGTGCAGGACTACGATGTGTGGAAAATCGTAAGTTTTCAAGACTTTTTTTCTATTTTATTTTTATTTGGCACACTTCGATTAATTAGGTGACGTCACTAAGATTTGACATGCAACCTTACTATACTCCGTTTCACTTTAGGTCCGAGTGCAGCGGACGCTACGAGACGGTAGGGCCAATCAAGCTGCTGCAAAAGCGCACTTTTTGCACCTGATTGGGTCCCCCGGTGATGCACTCCGTGACGTCGCACCTTTACCGCTATTTCATTGGCTCCGTCGTTTCGTAGCGTGCGCTGCGCTCGGACTTAAGGTGAAACGGAGTATAGATCCAGTAACGTTGCTGACACTGTGATGTCACGTGACACCCCGACTTGGCACCGTGAGTCGCATGACGTCAGGTCATGCGACGCGCCACGGCGATGAAAACGATATCGAAAATTTCTTCCGTTAGAAAGAAATTCTGCGTTAAACCGCACTGCACGGAAGGGAGATATCCTGTCGACTGCGCACTTCCAGGACCTGCAAACAAAAATCAAATAAAGGCTCATTAATCTGTAGCTTATTCCTCATTCGAATTTTAGGCATGGTTCCTAACTTTTACGGATCATTCACGTTTTAGGCAGCACGGCGTAATCGTTGTTTGAGGACCCATACTGGTTGCCATTCTAATTTATATAAGTTGGGAGTTCTGCGTTCTTTGAGCTTCTTCGAGTAGATTCCGAGGGCGTTTGTCGGAGTTTATTTGTTACGAGCAATTCGGAGTTTATCGGAGGCCTCGCTCACGTCGCATAAAATTCAGAGTTCTTTTGGAATATCGGAGCCATGCAAGAAGCTCTTAAAGAAAGAAAAGTATCAACTAAGCCAGATTTATTTTATATGAATTAGATATGTGACGATTTGAGCCACTTCATTAAAAAAATGTTTCCTTTCTTTTCGTTAATTTTTTTTATAAGAGGGAATATTTATTATTCAATCTATATATGCTCGATGACTTAACACAGTGGAAGAGAAATTCGCCGTAAATTTAACTGCGTCTTAAAGCGTACATTAACTAAAACCTATTAGTATTGATCTAAACCGCGCCATACTTTCTGTTAGAACAAAAGCCGCGTGATTTTTGCGAAAATTGAAAAAAATGTTTACTTGCTTGACTGCTTCGGCAGATCAAAACATAAATCACTCTGGAGTTTCGGACTATTTTTCTCCGCTTGAAAGTTTCCAGTCGAATTGTTTTCCCCCAGCTTCGTGCACACGCGGTGCCACCGTTGCCATTGCCTCTGCGGCCGGCTCCAGACAAAAACATTAACGGCCTCTGCGCAGCACGAGAAATGCAAACCAAGAAAAAAAAAATCGGACTTTCCGCGATGTAAAATTGTGGCCTTTGAACTCAAACACAGTCAGCGAGTCGCCCATCGGAAATTGCATTTGTTTGTTTTTTTTGTTTTTTTTTTTTTTGAAGTGCGTAGTATCGTCCCATAAAAGGGGTGAACGGAAGGTTCAACGAGTTCAGTCTAATACACTATCAGAGTGTTTCAACTAACTGATGCAAAAACTACCAAAAAAAAAGTTATGGAAATTACGCGTGTCGAACGAACGCAATTTGTTCAGTCTTACTGATACGAAGTCCATACCCTTTGCGGTCTGCCAAACCGGCTAATTAACAGACAGGCACGTAGCCAGGATTTTGTTTCGGGGGGGGGGGGGGGGGGGGGGGAGCCCGCCCATGACCAAATGCTGTATGAGGGGGAGGAGGAAGGAGGTTTCAGCAAAGTGGAAGATATCGGGGGGGGGGGGGGGGGCGCCCCCCCCCTGGTTACGTGCCTGTTAACAGATGCATTAGCTGATCACTTTCTAAATAACAATTTGTGCGTAAACCCTTCAATACAAAAGTTGTAGAGCGTGTTGAAAAAACACCCCATCGTGTCATTAGCCTAGTCTATTTTTTTAACTTTAAAGAAAGCAAACGATATTTAAAAAAAGTATATCCCACGTGACCAAGGGAACTAATATCGCAGTTCGCTAGGAAGTAATTACTTTGAATTATTTTTATATCGCGTTCTTCTATTAAAGTAATGAACAAAAAAACACGACTCACGATGCAGTGTATCATATAAACCGTAACTGCTGTTTTATTTTGAAAATTCTGTTGGAAGTAGGTATTCTCACATTATAATTCACCAAGTTCTATTTTTCTATGCTTACTTTTTTTTTTCAATACCATAAAGTGAAATGAACATATACTGGAAGAGAATTCTTCGCACGCATTGGTAACACGTACCATGGTAAGCACTTTGGAGCAGATTGACGCAAATGGCGCAGCCATCACATGACTGGAATGACAATTAACTGAATTCAGTACAATAACCATTCCTTAAACATGGAAGAGAAATGTGCTAAGTATATTTAGTCTCTCCTTCGCAAAGCTTGCTAAGGCAGTGGTGGGAATCTCGACGCTGACGTCGCGGGGTTCACCGGATGGTGGCGTTGGTTGAGAGCGGCTCATGGACTGGACCATGAACAGCCCACGAACACTCTATACTTGGGGCTGGGTTACAACTAGGGTTCCGTGGTTTCGGCCACACATGTACAAGTTACTCAAAAAAAGTAATTAAGTTAAGTTACTGAGTATCGACCTCAAAAATAATTTGAGTAGAGTCGAAATTACTCAAATGAAAACTAATTGAAAAAATTACTAATTACCGTAAAAAGTAGCGAATTACTTTTGACGTTACTTTATATGTTTTTTTATGGTAAAAAGAAAGTACATAGGTTTTGATCCGTTAGCGATATTGTGCTAGCCGAATATGCATCAGATTGTTGTTTCAAAGAAACAAAGTACGAAGTAAATGAGACTTTATGTACTTCAAGTAAATAGTAAGTCCACCGGGTGCAATGTACTTGAAGTAACGTCCTATAAATACAAAATATTTCAAGGTAAAGTACCAGCACTTTTAACATAATCTTTCATGATGCCCTTTCCTTCCCTATACAGTCTTTTTTTTTTAACTGGTACGCATTGCTCCAGGGGTAATCGGAGGTGCATCAGTTTTTTACGGAAATGGCAGCGAATATTTTATAAGGTGAAGTCGCTACAGAGTAGTTGTTTTACTCTCGCTGACGAGCTATTTGACACATTCAACTTATAACGCGCTTATTTGTGTCGGTCTTATGGCCGCCCTTACTTCACTCAGAGAAATGACCAGATGACGTCCTGAAAGAGCGCGTTTTCACACAATACTCCTTTTTTTTTTTCAAATTTGGGGAATGTACATTGAAGTGGGGAGTTTTACTTTCCCCGGAAAGTACAAGCACATACCCAGAGAATGTACTTCCAGTAAAGTGCAAGTTTTCTAAACAGTAGTATACTTTAAGTGCCATGTACATAGGGTACTTCCCAACACTGCTTGTTTGTTATTTTGTGTATAAAAACGTTGGGGGAATTACTAAGGTTTCTCGAACGATCTTCAAATCTTTGAAGATCTGCATATTTTATGTTTTAAGAGGAAAGGCAACGCAAAAAGGTCCCCTTTGCGTTGCCCTTTAGCACACGATACTTCGAGTACAGCACCGACTACGGGAGCACCAGATGAGTTTCAGAGCAGAAGCTGCATTTTGTTGCCTCCTTTGAGTGAGGATGCAGTGTGTGCACCTCCTGTAGTGGGCGAGAGTTTCTACGTTGGGGAGAAGCGGGGAATAGCCCTTTCTTTAAATGGGCCAAGTCTCCTTGAGCTTCGGGACACAAAGAAACGCCAGTCTTCGGCGCTAATCCCGCAGCTCTCTCTTGCGTCGTGCCTGTTGGCTCCCCGCGCTTCGCAGTAGTGTTGTTGCAGAGGGAGGGCTCAGGAAAATTTTGGGGGGTTTCAGACTCTCCAACCCATTTTCTTCTCCCCCCTCCCCCTTTTCTACGCCATATGCTTCCCCCTCTTTGCAAATATCAGCTGATCTTCCAACATCTTATCTCTTTTGTGCAGGAATGTTTGTTGATAGGCAAAACAACCACTCAAATTCGAAAGTAATTTGTAATTTGAGTAGAAGTTACCCAGAAAAAGTAATTAAGGTAAACTACTAATTACCGAAAT